CTCTTACAACCTGGGATCCTTTAAAAGAGGCGTGAAGAAGCAACATGCAGGCCAGCAGGGTGAGGATGGCTGGTGTGGCAGGTAGAACTGCTGTAACAGTTATCTTAGCGTCTGGACTTCATCTTCACTTAACATCAGGTGGGGTGGAGCCATTTGTCGGACCTATCTATAAAAAAAAGACTATACTGACAATGGTTACGATAAACAAAACGTAAAACGATAAACAAACGACAAAGTATACGAGGTAAATAGAAATCGCGTATATTTAGATTTGAGATTTGAACAATGTTGACTGTTTGTGTCATGTACTTCATGTACACAAATCAAAAATATTATCCGAAAGTAAATAAATGTCCAGTCCACAAATGATCGTCTCAGTAAGTACAGATTCATTATGCCATCACTAAATGCATCTTTATTCGTATCATGTATACTCTATGCCTCAACCGTGACAACACAAATCGTCGGACAGCACCTTTAGAAGTCTGAATGTTCGTCCTTAAGTGTTCCTTAGATAAATTAATAAAATATTATAAGTATCGAGGACTTACAAAATTAAGCCTATGCGCTTTCGTCGCCTATAAATCAGACCGGGCGTACCCACGCCGGTATTACTTTATGTAAATTTAATACATTATTTTAGGTCACATGTTTGTCTGTCTGTCACACGGAATCCTTTTGACGAGGGTTGTACGTTAAGGAAATGCCCTGTTTTCGGCACACTATTATATTCATATTTCTTCGGAGTTGGTCGTTTCGTTCGTTCGAAACGGTGCGCGGACGGGACGTAGCGACATGACGTCAATTCACATCTTTTTATTCGACTGTCGTTTGTTTCCAAAGTCTCTTGTCCATTTTCCTGATAATGCCATTAAATAACGTTTACTGAAAACGTCAATACAACACGTAGGACGAAAATAGACAACCTTCTCGAAGTTATATCCCTTGCGTCGCACCCGACTCAAAGGTACCCCGTGCCAGCTGTGTTACGAGTTTCTGTATTTCGCCTTTTTAAATAAAATTATACACTGTAATGCTTGTACGATTGAGTAAATATTTTTAATTTATACTTCATTTGAATAACAAGCTGTGTATTTATCCATACGTGTTAACAACTAATGCCATGTCCTTTAAAATTACCGTTTGGGAAAGAAAAGTATTTCATGTCTATTTAGCCGACGGTACGGACGGACGCGAGGCCTGTGCCCCAGCAATGGGGACATAAATAAACTGATGAGGATGATAGCCGACGTTACAGCTTTTTTCTTTTACTTTAAAACAAGTGTAGTGTAAAGAGCGGGGTTTTACTGTCTTTATAGATGATGTGACTGCCCAAAAGTCCCAGAGAAGCTGGATGGCGCAAGTGGTTAGCGCGCTCGGCTGCGATCGTTGAAGTTAAGCAACTTTCTCAGTGGTCGGTCATTGGATGGGTGACCAAAAATTTACTATCTCGAGCTCCTCCGTGTTTTGAAAGGCACGTTAAGGCGTTGGTCTTGGCTGCATCTGCTGTCGTTAGCACCCACCATTCCGCACTGGGCCCGCGTGGTGGGTCATGGCCCAATCTCCCTATTCCATCCATAGGGAAGGCCTGTGCCCCAGCAGTGGGGACATTAATAGGCTGATTATGATGATGATTTACAAATCAAATGCTTATATGACTAATGCAAGATCGTCGGTCATATGCACATATGCTGACATAATATTTTATAAAGCAATAATCAATGTATTATTATTTAATTGGTACATGTGGTGCAGAAGAATAAATAATAATAAATAAATATTTATATTTCCATACTAAGGCTAAGGCCTATTTTGGAATACAGGGGAATCAAACATAAATTGTAAAAAGTATAATGTCAATAAACATTTTTTTTTTAATGGCTATGGGTGTAGTAATATTCAGCCGAAGACTGATCGAAGTTGTTTATCTTTATATATATAATTCTTCTGTGAGTGTGTATGTCACTGAACTTCTCTTAAACGACTGGACCGATTTTGATGAAATTTTTTGTGTGTGTTCAAGGGGATCTGAGAATGGTTTAGATTCACAATTTTGTCCGCTGGACAACCCCTATTTTTTTAGGGCGGTACGAAGTTCGCTGGGTCAGCTAGTATAATATAAAATCATGTCTTTTTTGTAAAGATCGATAAAATAAAACATTTTTATTATTATTTTATTATAAAACATATATCATGTTATAATTACATAAATAAATAAATATACGAGGATTTCCAACACACACCAATTAGCCTAGACCCAAAGTAAGCACTGTAGGCTTGTGTTATGGGATACTAGGGTAACGGATAGAATACATATACTGATACATATATATTTATATAGAAATACATATTAAACATCCATGACTGGAGTACAAAATAAATATTCGTATTCATCATATGAACATTTGCTCCCATCGGGACTCCAACCCGGGACCTCTCGAGTACAAATCACCCGGCCACGGAGGTCGTCATATTAATGTTTATTGAAGTCCCTTTTTTACTAGTAGCGATCACAATTTTTTTTCTCGCAATTTTGCCTTGACAATAGGTTCAAATTTCAAAAATCGTAAGAACGATTTCGCGTAGATTTAAAGTAGGGTAAACTCTATAATGAAAAGAGCTAAACTTTCCCTCCCAAATAAATCACTTACAGGAAAACGCAAAGGGATTACCGCAGTCTGGCAAAAATCCTGGGACTAAGAATCTTTAGGAGATATATACGTTTGAAATAACCGAATGAACGACTTTTGGTGTTACATTTGCAAGGGAAATTGACAACGGGTTTGCCCAAGACGACTTTGTACCCTAATACGTGGAACACCGTAATTTTGAATATAAGAGTAGGTGTGAGTTCGTCAGTTAGATTGTCAAAAAATAATGTACAATTTTTTTTTGTCAATCAACCAAGAGCGCAGCTTATTATGGGAGTGGGACTCGTCATGTGACATTTCAAATTAGTATATATCTGTAATCTTTTGATTATGTGAAAAAAGATAAAAATGCAATGGAATACTTTTTGATGACCTGATAGACGAAGAAAAAGAAGTTAGTCATCATCCCTATAAAACTTATGACGCGATTATATTTGGTCGTTAGCCCGAATACGAGTGCCAATGGAATTCGGGTCAGCGCTTAAGTGTAAATGAACGAAGTAGAGTACGCCCTTATTCGGGTAGTTTTCGTTTTGGTTCGTCCGTCCGTCTTCCAGCCCGAATTTAGTGTAAATATTGCTTCGGGTGTCCGAATTCGAGTAATGTCTTTCGTAGACCCGAATACGGGCTAACGACAAGTGTAATTAAGCCATTGTGGAAGTTACTATGACCAGTAGCCAGATTATTGAGTTTGAAGACACTGTTATGGGTAGAAAGAAGGAACGACTGAGGGCCTTTTGCATCAATATTCTTAATTCAGATTCATCCAACACTTCATCCTTGTCAACTGTTCTTTGATTATGAGTAAATAATGAAAGCAACTATTTCAAAGAGTTGGAATAACCTTTATTTTGTTTTTAATTTAATTTAAGAGCTATGATAGCAGTGGATCTAAGATTTGCTATTATGAAAACAATAATTAATTTTGAACAGCAAAATATATTTTTATATGAGATTTTTTTAAGGTTTTAAGTTATTTTAATTACGCTATCTTTTACAGAAACCTTGTTTTGTTAAACGATATTATGAAGTCGCCCAAATTCATGTTTTGTCACCAAAATAGCGTTCCGCTGTTTCACAATGGACAACCGCAAAACCGAAACTCAAATAAATTTTCCTGGTCTGTTTTAAAACGCAAATGTGACTTTATTTATATTATTATTAAATGCATACTCGTTTTATTATTCTTCGAATATTTGTCAACTATATAAAAATAAGCTTGTTTATTTCTGGATTCATCCAGGACGCGAGAAATATATAATCTTTTATCAATGACAGGGCAAAAGAAGCGAATGTTTAGAACCATATCACATTTTTATATGATAATACTATTGAACCCAAACGGAAGTTATCTGACCCAGCTGTACCTATTGATACCAGTTTTGATCCAACTAAATCATCTAAAATACCCGCTCAAATGCAAACAAAAATTGCAAAAAAAATGGTGAATACTACCCCCCCCCCCTCATTTTGAGAATGGAACATGGCGTGTAAAATTTATGGAAACCCCATATACGTGTTTGCTCACAAAATTTTGATACTATTTCCGAACGCAAAATCTTATAAACAACATTCAAGCATCATGACTTACTTAATAAAAATATTGTATCTCAGTACCTACCGAAACACCGCAAATACGCGCCCGGCCACGGAATCTGTTTAGGCGAGCTGGAATATTAGATGGAAACCACAGCAACTTCGTTACTAAGCACAAAGGGTATAAAATAGTGCAGTACCACCAGTGCATAAACATCCGGGCCATATCTACGAAGTGAACTGTGAGATACCTGCTGTAGCCACGAAATTTACAATTCATATACCTAGTAAAGTGTCTGCGGATAAATGTTTTCGGTTTAATAGAAATATGGTTTATTTGTGCAGCTTTCATTATTATAGGAGGTAAAATTTACCAAGTTGCGATATAGACTATATAAGATCATAGTAAAATAAAATTACCTTTTGATGGTGTTGTGTTTCTGTCGGTGAGCAAGGTTTAAGGGCTCTACGGGGTTAGGGATTGGGTCATGGTAGGCTTTGGTACGAGTGATATTTTTGGTATCGCTAGCGTTTATAGTCTATGGAGGCCGCTTATCATCAGGCGGCCATACGGCGGCGGACTCGCAAACTATTCGAATTCGATAATGGTTCGAGCTAGGGGTACTGATTGATTCGATATTTTAGCAGTAATGTAAACGTGTCTTAAATCAGAGATAGCCTTGTTACATTCGTTTTTTTCTATTACGATTAAATATTCAAATTTACCGTTCAAATTATTAACCGCTACGCTAACTAAGAAGGTTTCGCGAGGATTTATGAATAAAATCGTTAATTATATTTTTTTATCGACAGACGCAACCTATAATCTGGTACGAGAACGAACCACCGGGCCAAGTGGTGGTGCTGACGGCCAAAGACTACGATTCTCCAGAAAATGGTCCACCATTCGAGTTCGCGTTGAATGATTCTGCATCTTTTGAGATACGCACCAAATTTCATATACAAGGTAAGTCTTTTCTTTCATATGACACCTGTCATATATTATTGGATATAAAGTAAATTGTAAGTTGTTTTTTTCATATAACTACCAAACAGAATGTCAATTACGTTGATATGTACTGAAATGCGGTATTAAATTTGTTTTTATGTACATTTCTATTTCACTAAAGAAAATATTTCTTTGATATTGACATCAATCACAATTTAATGTTTTATTCAGCAACATATTTTTATAGAAAAATACAAACGAATAAAATAATATATTAATCCATTATGTTCGTCTACTAGCGAATTAATTTTGTTCTTTATTGTCGTTGTGAAAGATGAATGATACTACACTCAAATATTTAGATACACGAAAAAGGCGATGAGCTGACTCAGCCAGTAGACTACAAAATTTATTAGAGAGGAGTTGAACATAAATAGTTGGAAGGTTTGCCCTACTGTGCCCAATCGACGCTTGCAATTTGGCATCAAAAGCATCTTAAAAATGTAAAATATAAGCGTTTCTGCAGTGCAATATGTTCAGTTTCACACGACCATCTTCATGGAGTGATTCATTTGTCATTGTTTTAAATTTATCACATTTTCTAAGAAATTTATCATCATATCAAGACCTACAACAATTTATTTCAACTGGCCCAAATGATAACAGTAGAAATAGTATAAATAAATCAATTGCTAAATCAACTTTGTGCTGTGAATACACAAATTTGCGATCGCGTAGCCTCATACCGATTCGTTCCAAGACGAAAAAAACGAACCATTCGAAGAAATAAAGCAATAATATTTAATTCTAACGACGCAGCCTGAAAAGGATGCGAAACGTCATAAAAATAAATCAGCGCATCTATATCTACCGTTGAAACTTGTTTTATTTAATGAGTGCTGTGCGTGAACACCTAAGAAACAAATAAATAGAGCAATTTTGTGTGGACCTCCCCAAAATCGAGTTTCGATCAATTAACGTTGTTAACATGCAATAAATGGGTAGCTAACTGTAACTTTGTTTCTGAAGTGGCAATTCAATTTCAGTCTGCCCATTCAGACTGGCGTGCTTATATTTCTTAGACTGTGCTCACTTCGAATCGGGGCTTTACCTGCTAAATAATGGTGACCCGAATAATTCTATAACTCGCTTTCACTCTAATACAAATCGGTCTGTTTGCTCCCGATATTTGTCATAATGAAATGGTTGGCTACGTAATTAAACAGTTGCCCGTGGAAGTTATTTCATTTGTCGTTATTTAATTCAGTATTCTCGAAACGTCGTCGCACGCCGTCATCGATAATATTTACAGTTAATGTTTTCTCAGGACATTGATAAGAAATTAGTTGAATTCTATTTCTAGTTCACCAAAGGAAATTCACGCGACTCTTTTTCAAAGACTCTCAATTCAAAATATTGTTTGTTTGATCTTATCATTCATCTTCACCACAAACCTATATCTTTATGGAGTTTCTATGTTTATTCCAATTCTTTTGGAATTTATTTTAAACAAATGACATCTTCAAGCTCTAAAAGTGGCCAATATGCTCAATTCTGTAGAATCATAGAATGTTATCTTTAGAGGATTTCGTCTAGGATTGATAACGTGATTTTTTCTCCTATCATGGAATTAAAACTTCTCATTTTTCTTACAAAAACTTATTTGACAGTTAATTTATCTTTTCCTGTTTCCACAACCTTCGTTTGTACAGTAATTTCTTCAACTTAAGTAAAAGGTAATAGTGTCTGTTTTCTCCTTTTTGATAAAGTATTTTTTTACCTTTTATATATGTAGTTATAAGTTTGACCAATTTATTTATCTTAATTAGATTCTCTTTTCCAAAAACCCTGTGTTCGTTTATATGTATAACATTTTAGTTTTCCGTTTTAAATACTTCAGACTTTTTGCTGTATTGTCAAATTTAATTGTAATTTTCTTCTTATTGTTTAAGGCAACATCCTGTCGACGTTAGTGACATTTGACAGGGAACAGCAAAAAGAATACAAGATACCCGTGGCTATAACAGACTCCGGTAGCCCGAGGTTAACTGGTGTCTCCATACTCCACGTGGTCATTGGAGACCGAAACGACAACCCCATGGGCCCTGGACACAGCGACATCTTCGTTTACAATTACAAGGTAATCATCTAAAATCACCGAATGTATATTGAAAAACCTTTTATGGCCGTTCTCAGAAACTTATCCTACATGTGAGGTAGTACTCTAGTTGTTGAGCTCCAGGTTAAATGCTTAGATATCCATAATTGGGAGTTGAACAAGGTTGTCAATTTGGGTCTGTATTCTTTATGTGAAAGGACCTACTAACTCGACAATCAAATAGGCTACTATAAAATACAAAAACAGCGTCATCTCACCTCGGGATAAACTCGCGAATCGCTATCGGGGTAAGCAGGAGCAAGCGATAACGTTTCATCAAGAATTTGTTTCACTTTTAATAACTATGAGAAGCCTAAATCTTGTTGAGATGGGTTATTGGGAATGGCCTTATGATGTATTTCATCATTCTTTAGTTGCATCATCTTTCTCCATCACGTGTTAGCTGCGGCGAGACAAGTTTTGTCTCAAATCCGGCAGATGAATTTATTTTTATACCGTCATAACAATAACTAATGATTTCTTTAAGTAGTGTTATTTAAAAGTTAGTGAATTTGACTATTGAAATTTTAAATTATGATAGACCATCCAGTACAGTTACAATATTAAGACGGATTGATGCATCGTAAGTAGCAATTCTGCTTTCTGCAGTTTCTGCCCATCGTTGGTTGAATCCTTAGGATTTCATAGAGTTTTTGTAAGGAGCACAAGAACTCGTTTCCAATTTAAGATTTTTCATTATAACTAACCTTTTTAAGATTTCATAAGAGCTATTTAGCAAACATTATCCCCCGTATAATAATATACGAAGAATAAGCTTGGATTAGTTACTTTATATTTTGTCTCTGTTCATAGGCTTAAAAATTGCAATTTCTCATTTAAGGGGGTATGATCGTTTAATTCCAAAATAAATGGGATGTGAGTTTTACGGAATTTGTTATTAAATTACGTACGTTATTGCCAAGTGTTGCAAAGGTCCTTCATTTTCTGCAGTGCAGTCGATGAAATGTTTGTTTGTTAGTAGTATTATATAGTTAGTATCATATATAAATATATTAAAACAAAACTACTTTAATATTTTTTTTAAACAATTTCATAGTTTCTAAGTTTATTTCACGTTAAATATTTATGTGTAACAAGAAAGACAGTTTCCAATATCGTTTATAAAATGTACAACATTGTGAGAAATTTTAAATATAGTATTTGCTTTTTCAATGCTAACAGACGGAAGTGTACTACAATGAATTGTACAGTTGGCGTTATTACGTAAGTATGAGAGAGTTTTTGAAGTGTCTTGTTTATTTTTATTAAATTTTATTTTCACGATGTTTCCTAACTTTAGATGGCACTCGTGCGCTATAATTGTACTGGATGGTATGAGAACTTTCCTAATTCGTTTCACAGATTCCTTGATTCGGGTAGAGTGGTGTAATTTCAACGCGTTTCTCCCCAGTTCAATGTGAACAAAGGCCCGTTTTTGGGACGATTAATTTTCATATCCGCGTCTCTTTTGTTATAAGCGTTACAAGAGTAATTGTTTTAAAGGAATTAATCAAATTCGGTTTGAAGTTTGAAGGGCTTGAATTTTGGTTTAAGTAAATTAAACCTTCTTACATAAAGATGTTTCCAATGTTGAGTATGAACGATTTTGATTGTTTTCTTGGAAATATAATTCCCATTACTTAAATCGATAAAAATAATGCCGAGTAAATTATATCACTTTACTTGTCAATTGTTTTACACAACGAACCATCCAGATTCAATTGCATGCATTTGTTTTTTTTTCATTATTAATTTAATAAAATTTGTGTAAGGCCTCTTTATTTTCGAGTCCGCCGTTGTCCGTTCTCGTTTCTGTACAGATTTTTTTACCGAGTGCATGTAATGAGGCACACATTCGTCTTTTCAGTCGCTTCTGTCCCATCGTAATAATCGTGCATCGGTAGTGTTTTTGCTTTTTGACACAGTTCTTTTGGATAAAGCGCAAAGTAACAATAACGAAAATATAAGTACGCAACAACAATTGTTATTTTAGAAGGTAACAAGAATTTGTGTGTGCTAAAGAAAGTGCCATTAAAACACTATCTAGAAACGATTATAAAGGAGAACTTACCAGAATGGACACTCGGAATGTTACAGAAACGAAGGCGTATTTGTGTTATTTATTTTTTATTTCGTTATTATAGAGATTTTGTCTTATTTTTTACTCTAGTATTATAGAGCTGAAGTGTATGTGCGTAGCGAATAGAATATTTATAATAAGTAACTCCCGAGCTGCTTTGTCTAATAAAAACAAACCTATGGTTAACCTACCAAATATTGGTTTCCATTTTTAGGGTTACGTACTTATAGAAAATAGCCTTTTTTAATTAGGTACTTAAAGTGTACATATGGAGTTTTAGTTAAGAATAGGCTTTTACTATTATTTAGTAAAATTTAAATCCTACTATTAAATGTGAATGTATATATATATATATATATATATATATATATATACACATAACTTTGTATGATTGTTACTCAATCACACAAAAACTACTAAATTTGGTACTCATATAGTGTATGACCTGGATTGCGATATAGGACACCTTTTATCCCGGAAAAAAGTTAGGGTCTCGTGGGATTCCCAAATAACACAAAAGTTAAAGAAGACAAAATCGCGGGCGGCCGCTAGTTTGATTTATAATTTGATACCTATTTGACGAAAAGAAAATGCTTTACGGATTAGAACTTGGAAAAGCTTTTTCTATCAGTTAAACGTAGTTGGCATGCCTCGAACCACCGAAATTGAGTTACAATTTGCATTTCAACGGGCTTAATTGAGAATGTTCGCAAAATCGGTAGAGTGCCGCTTTATTTATTCAGCGGTTCTTGAGGCTTTCTTCGTGGCCCCAACCAATTTGTATTCAACGCGACATTTTATAAAGCGTGAAATATGAAAATGTCCCGTGATATGGAACCTAGCGCCTGCCCTTTTTTTTATTAAAGTGTTCTTATTAAAGTACACTTAAAAAGTTGTTACTTACCACCCCATGGCATTGTTACTGCATCAGATAAGACGCGGATTAATTAACACGTAGATTCTTTTCTCGATAAAACTGAGGAATTTGGAATTTGAATTCGAAACTCTTTATGACTTGTTTTAGATGATTTGATTGTATAATAAATAAAAAAAAACGTGGAAACAATAGTGACAAACCGTTTGCAATCAGATTGATGTTCTATTAAAAAAAATGGCGGTAGTATTCCGAAGACTTAAAAATAAAACTGAACAAAATATAAACAAAAATAAATAAAAAAAATCATCTCAAAAATATATTTTTATTTGGCAAAAATATATTACAAGAAAACAAAGTTGGGTTCGAAATCTAAGAGCTCTTCTCGACGACTCGAAGGAGCGTTTGTTGTATTAATAATAATATTTTTTTTTTATTTTCTCATACCACAATCTAAATAAAACTTACATGCAGCAATGGTACAATATAGCAGACTGTGGTGGGCTGATACCTGAACTACGAAAAATCCTGTATCCCAGGTTATCAGCCCTCCACCCCAAACAATGGTCAGAAAACTTATAAATTGTAGGCACTTAGTGAGATATTTTATAAACAATCATGATGGGAAGTTTTGACACACACTATTCTTATAAAGAAGATAAATTCTAAATAAATAATACATTTAGGACATTTTATAGTTTTAGATTGCAATGCCAATACAGGATTATTTATCAACTTTTAATATTTTTTCTGTTGCAAGATAATCAAAAGATTTTAATTTTACTTTTAGAGTTGTCTTTAAACCAGCTTTATTCATTTCAAATATTCGGGATATATCATCAAAGTACCTATAGAGAAACGGCCCAGTATAGTACATCTGACGTCAATATTGAATATAATTCGGGACTTTCGTACGATATCGCCTCTTATGTTTAGGAAGTTGGGATGGGTCGATCGTTTTATGATGCCGAAGGATAGAATTATAAATAAATAACTGCCTAACAGTAAGTAAATTAGCCTCCTGGTATAACTGGCGTGTCGGATATTTCCTGGGTTTACCTAGCATGACTTTGAGAACAGCTCTCTGTGCTGTGTGCAGCCCAAACCGGAATACAATAGGTTAGTAGGGATTGACAAAGAGAAAAATAGATTTTTATAATAAGCGTTGGGTCAGCTGCTTCACGAAGGTTTTTAAAAATGTGAAGCAATTTTCGTACTCTTTTGCTTAGGGATGAGATATGAGGTGCCCAATTGAAATTTTTATCAATTATGATACCCACATATTTGTGGGTATTAGTTTCATTTAAATAGAGACAATCACAAGAGGGGTCAATAGTATTGGAAGAACACGTTCTAAAGTGGGCTTTTACGTTAAAATTAATGGGAGGTTTAGTAGCACTAGAGATTCTAAAGACCTCGTTCAGCAAATTTCCGGACTAGATACCAAGTTTTACCGTGAAAGATTAGGGCGGTATCGTCTGCAAAAGCCAGCGTGTTACCATTGTCCATTCCGATATTGCAAAGATTGTTGACGTAGGCCAGAAACAGGGTAGGGCCAAGCGTGCTACCTTGCGGAATATCATAGTTGTTAGGGGAGCTAGAACTGACCACTGTGGAGACTTTGACTACTTGACTTCTATTTGATAGGTAGTCACGAGTGCAGTCCCTCGTATACCAAGCTGTTCTAGTTTAAGTAAGAGTAGTGGAATAGAAACAGTGTCGAAGGCTTTTTTAAGGTCCAGAAATATAGCTAGGCATCTTTCACCGCTGTCCAAAGCCTTGGTAACCACTTCTGAGAGTTTATCCACTGCATCTTCAGTATTTCTTCCCGTGCGAAATCCATATTGGTTATCAGATAGCAATTGCTTACTCTGTAAGAACTTAGTAAGACGAATATTTACTACTTTTTCTATGTACTGATTGTGCTAAGTAAAGAAATAGGCTTATAGTTCGACACAGTCTCCACACCACCACCGTTATAGACAGGGACAACCACAGCCTGTTTGAAAATTGCTGGAAATATTCCAA